TCTTATGTACTGTCTTTCTGGCACTCTATTATACTGGCTCCTGTGTGGCCTCATATTTTCTTATCCCTTCTGTCTTTTCATGGCTATATCTTTTTGCACTATTTTCTAGGAAATCTCTTCAATTTTTGTCTTCAACATCTTCTCAATTTTGAGTTCCTTGTTTTCTTATTTGTGTTCTAAAAGCTCTTCTGTTTCAAAATTATCCTTTTTTAAAAAACCATTTGCTTATTTTTATCTTATGTATACATTATGTTGGATATCCTGAAGCTGGAGTTACAGACAATGGTGAGTTGCCATGTGGGTGCTGGGAATGCAACTGGGGTCCTGGGAAGAGCAGCAGTGCTCTTAACCACTGAGTCATCTCTCCAGCCCCCAAGCTGTCCTTTTTAAATGTACTAGTTTATATTACATCTTTGTCATCTTTACTATTATCTCTGAGACAATGGATAGTGGTATATATGGAAGTTTGCTCCTGTTTTGTTTTTAATTCTCTTCTAGTTGTTCTATTTCCTCAAAGGTCTTTTTTTATTTGTTTTGTTGTTCAGCCTCTCTCCTGTGGCTTTTCTCACTTATCAGGTCTAATAATCCTTGGTTTTGGGGTTATGTTTGAAAATGGAGCTCTAAGACTCTAATTGGGAGCTTTGAAAACATAGTTAGAACTTACCTGTATTTATCTGTGTCACTATGAGGTGACCTGACAGGGCCATTTAGGTATAAAGTCTCTGATGCCCAGGGGACACCTCCCAGTCTACCTTTTGGAAGGAAGTAACCCTGACTGCCACCTGCTGGAACATGGACAGGAGTCTCAGCATTCACTAAATGTCCTCAGTTTTCAGTGTTGGAACCTACCCTTACTTGGACCTCTGGCCAATGACCTTCTTTACCAGTTTGGGTGAGGCAGTTGCCCACTGAGGAAAAAGGGGGAGATGAGGAACAAGTTGCACTCCCTGAGCATGCTAACATTTCTGCAAATGCAAACGGGGTTCATTCTCAACTCTCCCACTGTGGCTTCCACTGAATCTTCTAGCACTCATCCATTTGTCTTCTAGTTTTCAAAACCGGATTCTTGTAGTCTCTTCCCTGATCTTTCAGCACTCATGAATTTACTTATTTTGAAAGGAACCTGCAGGATGAAAAAACCATCATCCCTCTTCAGGTATTGGCGGGACCAGGATCTGTCTGTGTCATTTCATACACTAAGCACCGCCATCTCCTTCTGTAGCCACATGAAGCAGCCTATCTTGAAGTTAAATATTGAGTTCCTAGGACTTTTCTGTCACAAAGATAAGTGTTGCCTCTCCAGTTATCAAATGCAGTAGTCCTAAAATTGATTTCTTTCTCTTGTTACCTCAACAGGACTCCTGAGTGAGTCCATTTCTTACTGTGCTGATAATGGAAGCCAGGACCTTGAACATGAAATGCAAATGCTATACCCCTGAGCCACAAGAAATCCTTAGCCCCATAAGTTAGTGGGGTTTTGTGTTTATTTTTAGCATCTATTGTATATACTATAATAATGGGTTTTAGTGTGACACAGGAGTAGTGTGTTTTTTTATCATATTCACCTCCATTACTTTTTCTTGTTCCCTTGACAGTCTTGCTGAGCTGACCCACTTCCTCTTATTGTCTAGTCCCTCCTTCTGATTTGTGTGTGTGTGTGTGTGTGTGTGTGTGTGTGTGTGTGTGTGTGTGTGTGTGGTTTTCATTAGGGCTGCTTACAGGAACAAAATATTCATTGACTAGATTTTAATAGAACCTTGTATTCATTGGAGTGGTTTGGTTACTCTTCTTGCTTTCTGGCTTGTTTTGTTTGTTTGTTTGTTTTTTTATTTATTAATGCTTATTAGGAACTGACAATTTAGTTTTAAAAATGAATTATACAGGATTCCTGCCCAAGGAGCTGCCAATCTAAATTAGTGGGTAGTAATTCCTGTTAATTAGCTGAATCCTCTACTCCCTGTCAAGACATGGTCATTTCTTTGACACTGAAGTTCTGCTTTGAGTTACAGCCTCGCTTGTTAGGACAAGTTAGCTATTACCGTTCATGTGTTAACACAAGTGTTTCTTGTATTGTAACTGAATGATTTTGGCCCTTGGCTGAAACTTTTGCTTAGTGCCCTCATGCAGATCTAGTGCAAGTGAGAAGATGGTTTCTTTGAACTCATTCTGCTGTGACCCATTTCATGGTTTCCATTTGATTTTTCAGTATGACTGAATCAATTATGGAGGGCAAGACTTTTTTTTTAACTCTAGTCAACAGTTTATAAGTTGGAAGCCCAGCAGACAGTGTTCAGACAGCCGCAAGAGAGGCTTGTTGGGTTCTTGGATCCCAAAGTACCAAAGTCATTTTAATCTGGAGCCTGCCTGTAGGCTTGCATTTAATGAGCTCCTGAGGTGAGGAGGAGCTTTCCTTCAACCTTGCCCTTTTTGACTAGTGTTACAAATCTCAAGTGTTTGTTGTGATAGCAAACCAACCACAGAGAAATAGTAGTCAATTCTAAAATACATCTGCTGTAAATAAGAATGAAATGCTGGCCAGCAAGATGCATCATGTGTAAAGGGTGCTTGCCTCCAATCATAATGGCCTAGGTTTGGTCCCTGAAATCCACATAGTGGAAACAGCAAACCAACTCTAAAAGTTATCTCCTGACCTTTACAGGAGTGCTCTCTCTCTCTCTCTCTCTCTCTCTCTCTCTCTCTCTCTCTCTCTCTCTCACACACACACACACACACACACACACACACACACACACAGAGGGGGTGGGGAGTAAATGAATGTAAAAAGAATTTTAAAATGCTTTCTTTCATGACTATGAAAGATGCCATGGCCAAATCTACTGAATCATAGGAACAGCTATAACCTTGGCCCAAAGTCCAGCTGATGCCTGGTTTTTACTGTCCTTGAGGAAAAGAATGGAGTTTACAGATTCAAAGGGTAGCTTTGAGAAAAGATGGGGAAGTGGAAGAAATGGGGTTGGGGAAATATATATATTAACTCAGATTGCTTGTTGTAGATTCAGCTTAGGTACAAATGGGGGGAAATGTCATGAATGTTGTTTCCGTTAGCCCTTTGGCTTGGCTGGAAATACCTTTCTTAGAGGTATCTATGTGTTAGGACTATGTCTCTGTACAGTATGAAATGTAAACAAAAAATATAGTTAAATGATGTCTAGTAAATAGAGCATAGGTGCCATATTCCCATTATTATGGGTATTAACTGTATAATGGCTTTCAGGTAAATAGAGTGTGTTCTTTTGTTTATTGAAAGCTTAATCAATAAGATTCTATCAAAATATTCAACTTTGCAGTTAGATTGTTATTTCCCCAAAATTATGACAACCAAATATCCTCTTTTGTGAGATATAGGTCAAATGTGAGAGACAGTGAGGTCAGTATGTCAGACCATCTAATTTTAAGATACCTTTTCTGCCCAACATACCTGTACACTGTCGTGATGTGAGTTTTCTAAACAAATTGCTTTGAAATTTTCTACTCTATATTACTTGTCAAACTATCTAATCAACATGAAGAAGTTAAGCCTAATGAGTAGATTACCAGATACTTCTGTTTTGGCTGATCAAGATACTATTAATGGGAAGAGAGTGCTTATATAGTTTATATAGTTCAATATAGTATACTATTATTCTCTGTGTCAATAGATATATAGTTCCCCTTTTCTGCCAAGAGGTGACTTGACAAAATATTCATATCATTAATCAAAAATAAAGTTTTTAAGCCCAGTCTTTACTCATCCTGTTTTGAAATATCTTCTTCTTCAGTGTTTAATGTTCATTTTCAAAGGCATCTGTGACATAGTCAAGTAACCATTGAATGTTCTGTCCTTCCCTTTGGTCCTCTCAGAGTGATCTGGGGAGCACACAAAATTGTCTGTGTTTATCTCAGCTGATAATTCCAACTCATTCTAAGGATAAACACTGAAGTCAAACTTGTCAGAATTTTCATTTCTTTCCTTGCCAAAAAAAATATATAAAAATAAACTTTATACTATATTCTTTTATTGGGATATTAGATTATAGAAATCCAAGGTCAGCAGTATATCAAGGCCTTCCTCTTCCTTTACTCTCTTCTCTGGGGAGGTCTCTATGTTGCCCTTGAATTTAAGATCTCCTGATCCCTGACCCAGCCTCCCAAATATCTGGGATTGCAGATTGCACCACCAGGCCCAACTCTAGTTGCTCCATTTATGAAAAATGAGAACATAAAGCAGGTAAGTAGAGTTTCCTATGAAAAGCTGCTCTTGGAGCCTCACAGTTTATGAATCCTATACAGAGCACACCTGGAGGGTCATGGTAGACCTATCCTTCCTGCTGTCAGCCTCAAATGTTTATTGAGGCAAGCTCCAGTCTCAGAACATCCCAGTCAAGTCAGGGAGATCATGCTAGAGGACAAGAAATGATCAACTAATTGTATACTCTGGAGAGGCTTCCTCGTCTGTGGTGAAATGTTGAGGCCTCCTTCACATGCACATAATGTGGGGATGAACACTGGCCAGCAAGGTATGGAATTTCTCCTGAAATAGGGTGCCCTGGCCTGATACTAAGTGTGCCTACAATACAGACGAAAAGAAAGTAAAAGGGGAAATAAATGACAATAATTAATTAACAATAATTGGCTACAAAGAATAATCTTAAAAATACCAAAAAAAAAAAAAAAAAATTTAAAAAAACCTTTTGAGCCTCCTGAAAGTTATCCAATTCCTTTTTCTCTCTCTCCCTCTCATTTATTTATGTCTCAGTTTTGAATTCATCTTGATTTTTCTTTAAAAGGAAGGAGTGGGGTGGCGAAACTTCCTTTCAAACAAATACAGAAAGTTTTGAAAGCTACAATTGCTCTAATAACAAGGTTGAGGGCTGGCCTGCCCCTGCTGTTAATGCGCTTATGCCCTCCTGCAGGGAGAAGACCGGCAAGCCATCCTGAGCACCACAGTGTGGCCACATGCTACCAAGCAATTAAGAATTGATTGTTTGTCTTCTTTGCAGGTGGGAAGGAAAGAATGAAAATGAAGTGGGCAGATGTAAAGAGACCGGCAAAATTCATGTGACTGTGGATCTGAAATACTACCGACCAACTGAAGTGGTAAGGACACCCTCACCACCCAATGTGTGACCGCACTTGGCCAGCTGGCTGGGAAAATGCCCTCATGGAATGCCTGCTGCCAACCTCTAAAGCTCTGTAACACGCCTCTCTGGCATACTCCACAGGGCACTTCCCAAACGAGAACAGGGAGAATTAAGATTGAGATACCATTCTCACCACAAAAACCCATTGCTCTATAAAGGAAAACACGAGTAAAACACACCCGGGAAAATAGTTGATTTCAGAAATGGAGAGCAGAGTTTGGACAAATCTCATCTCATTGGTCTGCTCTGGAGAATGATCCCTGACACCCACAAGATGTCTGCTTTCCCAAGCCCTAGACATGCAGGGTTTCTAGGGCAAGAAGCCATTTTTACCTGCCACCTTGCCAGCTGTGCACTCTCACACAAATCACTAACATGCTTATGCATCTGGCACAAAGTCACATGCATACAAGTCGTAAAAGACCTCCCACATACTATACAGCTCGGCTCAGATGCCACCCTATTCACGGATCCGTTTCTAGCCAATATTATTCCACTACCACTAACGTTTCTCCCTTGTCTCTGTAATTACCTTGTACACTCTAGGACAGTGGTTTTTAACCTTCCTAATGCTGTGGCCCTTTAATATAGTTTCTCACATTGTGGTGACCCCCCCCCCCCCAACCATAACATTATTTTCGTTGCCATCCCATAAGTGTATTTTTGCTAATGTTATGAATGATAATATAAATATTGGTGTTTTCCAGTGGTCTTAGATAGCTGCTGTGAAAGGGTCATTCAACCCACCAAGGGGTCACGACCCACTGGTAGAGAATCATTGCTTCACGACCTGTTACAATCATTTGTTTTCATGTTTTCCTCCTTTTGCCAGATTCTAAATTGTTTGACAATAGAGATTTTTGGGGAGGAAAAAAGGACAAAAGTCTAACAAGATAGTTGTTTAATACTAACTGACTGGTAGGTAGACAGATAAATTTTTAAATAGAAAATTTCCCATGTTAGGAAAGAAAGGCCAGGGGAATGATCCAGTGGGTAAAGGTGCTTGCTGCCAAGGCTAATGACCTGAATTTGATCCTCAGAACCCATATGGTGGAAAGAAAGAACCAACACCTGCCCTTCCACAGGCAGGTGTTACACAATATGCATACACATATACAGAGTGTTAAAAAAGAAAAGAAAAGAAATAGATTGTTAGTGTCAACATTATATACTGTTGGACAAAACATCTATTCTAAGTTTATATAAATGTATGGCATGATATCACTGCTTTGATGTAATCCGTGCTCATTATGATGGCAAAACTAAAGGTGTTTAAAATTAATTCTTAAAAATAATAGAAAGCAGTGTCTTTGCAGAGAGGAGGTCAGGAAGTATGCAGTGAGTGGGTGTGGAATAGTACCTTTAGAAACTTTTTTCTCCGGGTTGAGAACCAAATTCTGGTGTGTCGTACAACTTTCAGTGATTGGGATAAGCCAGGGAAGACATATTAAAATGTGTGGTCAATGGCCACTCTGAAATGTGTTGTTTTATGTTGTCCACCCTCAAAAGGGCTATGAGCAGTGTGTGCCTCTTACACACAAAATGAAATCCATACAAAGGAAGCAAACAGTGGCTTAGGAGAGGTAGGGCTGTGGAGTCCTGAATTGTCCCCACAGGGCGTGGCCACGCTTTGACACAGAGAATGATTGTTCTTAGCTAATGGTGAGTGGGTGTGCCTAGGAGAGGATGTGCCTGTCCCTGGAGGAGGAAGATACTAGCCATGCTGCTGCTGACACAGCAAGGACCTCCTCCAACATGCTGTCCTAAAGGGCTTCAAGGGCACCATTTCTCTGAGATAATTCACAAGGCATTTATAGGGACAAATTTCTCTTCTCGCAAATAAAGATAGTCACTTCAGAGTGGAAACTTTACCATGACAGCAAAAATTGTGTTCTCACTACCACTTGGACACGGCTCTTTCCCTGACACCAAAATAGTTTCAAAAACTAGGAAGTCATTTAGAATGGCTTGTCTGTCATTCTCATTTAGGCAAGGTGTGGGATTGATAAGGACCCAGAACAAAAGAATTTGTAGAACAGGAAGAGGACCCTCTGAGTAACTAGGCCTTTCTTGAGTCCCCACCGGCCCCCTTTCCTTTCCCACTGCATCCCTGCCTTCCTACTCTTTGTTCATTCAAATGCTATCATCGTACCTGTTCTGCAACTCTCTTGACACCAGCATTGTTTGAACATAAGAGTGGTGTCTGATTTCATATGCAGGCTTGCTGCCCCCTTTCCCTGGGCTGGCTCTCCCACAGACTACCTTTACTCCAGGGTTATAGATCCTATTCTGTGTTTCGTCTTTATGAACCTGTAGGCTGCACTCAGTTCATTTACCACACTTCACCCCCCCCCCTTTTCAATTGGCCATACTTCCCTTCCATAGTGAAACTAAACTTTTAACCCCGTTCCTCAAAACAAGTTCTCTGAAACTTGGATCAACCTGAAGTGACAGGCTTTCTGTGGAGTTGCCTCCAGGGTGACAGTGTTCTTCCAGCTGAAAGGTGACTACATTGTAAACAAGCTTTTTCCAAATGTGGAGCCCTGTCAGCCATAAGAATTCATTTCCTTTGAATCCAGAGAAGCACTAGATCTCTCTGAGGTGGGCAGCTAGGCCCAGCCTCAGAGACGTGTGAAATGAGTAGAAGTAAAGGAAGAACAGACATCAGTTCCTCTATCCAGACTTCCAGACTAGAGGCTCAATCTGTCCTGTTCGTCCCAGGGGCTTCTTGTTAGATTTCTGTATTAGCATGAAGGATATAGGTTTTTCTTTTGGATCAAGGGCTTCAACTTGTGAATGGAGTCATGTCTTTTGGTACCCTACCTATGAGTCTTTATAACTCCTTTGGGTACTGAGGAGTTTTGCTTACACAGAAAGCTTAGGCTGGGAAATTAAGCTTTCCACTTCCCACTGCCTCTGAGTTCAAGAGGATTCGGTAATGGTGATACAGATGCCTGAGTTCTGTGGTACTTGGGACTACTCTCTTGGGCTGGATGATAGCTCAGTGTAAATCCCTTTTCTGCCTGTGCAAAGCCCCATTTTCCATCCCCAGACCTGTAAAAGAAAACAAAACAAAACACTCCAGCCTTACATGTAATTTCCTTATAAACTCTTACTGACACACAGATTTATTATACAATATACTCATTTCTGGTTTTATTATTATTTTTTTTGTGTGTGTATGGGTATTTGGCCTGAATGTATGTCTGTGTACCACATGGTGCCCATGGAGGTCAGAAGACAAGGAAAAATCTCCTAAAACTGGAATTACAGTCAGTTGTGAGCTGCCATGTGGGGGCTAGGAGTCAAACCCAGATCTTCTGAAAGAATAGCAAATGCTCCTAACTACAGAACCATCTCTGCAGCCCCAGTGTTTTTAGTTCGAGGAGAAAGTCATATTCTATTAAATGTGCATCTTTGACAAGACTGTCTGCATTTTGCCCATCAGTTACTAGATGTATATATAACCTTGGGTGAATTACTTATATTTCTCAGTGTTTCTCTTTCTTAACTGTTAAGAATATGATTAATTAGAGAATTTCTTTAAAACAATTATTTGAGGAGTCAGTTATAGTATCTGAAAAACAATATCTAATATTCTAGCTGCATTCATTTCTTATTCATTCCCTAAATATTTACCCCACACTCCTAGATTCTGATAATGAAATGGTAAACAGACTAACTCATCCTCAGTAAATGAAGTAGATATGTAGATGCCATCAGTCTGAAAAATATACTATTACCATCAGAAATATGTACAGATAAATCATAGGAATCTAGTAAGGGTCACCGAGGCTTCAGCTACTGTGTGTTGTGTGTGTTATAAAGTATATATTAAATTATATATTTAAGCATCAATGCTTTTTCTCTCTTGGTGCTTAACTTTTTATTTTTTCCTTAACATTCGGTAGCTGTTCAGTGTTATAGACATATCAAAGAAATATGAGTAATTGATATTGACCTAATACTTCCAGAACTACAAAGATATCTTCTTTTTCTTTGAAAATTTTTAGGTTGAAATATTCCAAAAAAGAGAGATTAATCTAGTACCCATTCTCTTGTGCCAGGTTTTTAATGACATCAAATGACCAGATCAGTGCACAAAAAAAGAAAAGAAGTATTTTGCTTTGTTTTCATGGAAAAGCCTAAAATCCATTTTTCCTTTCCATTTTTTCTTTTTCTACAGAGAACTTTAGGAAATGAGGCAAAGGACCAAAAATCAAGTATTTCTCTTTAAAAAAAAAAAAAAAAAAAAAAAAAGGAAAAGGAAAAGGGAAACATCTTGACTTAAACTCTGATGGCATTTATTAGCATTTCCTTCATAAAATCATTAATATTTAACTTTCATTTTCTTCCCATTGTGTTTTTATGTCCTTGGTTACAATTGGGATTTGTTTTATTTAGACATCTTAAATTCATTTCTAATTGCTATAGATATTGAGGGAAAAATCCATGGATTACTGTATAAAACTAAGAAGGCAGTAACTTCAAAGAAGTCCATCAGGCCAGCTAGCTTTCCTCCAGTGAGAGCATGTGGCCTGTTCCTAATCAAATTACCATATGCTTGCCCAGTTGTCCCCTCTGCCCCCCATAAACTTTTCCTAATATTTTTCTGTAAATGATGTTAAGCTAAATGGCCTATAATTGCTTGCTCTATCTCATAGCCTTGTTTAGAATAATGGTATGTAACACTTTCCAGACCCCAGGAATCTGATCTGTCATCAGAGGATGTGTATAAGTAGCAGTTCAAGCGTCTCTCCACTCTGTCTCTAAGTACCTGGGGTAAAAAGCTCTTGTGTTCACCCGGCTGGCCTTTTGTCCTGAAACTCCCCTGCCCTCCATCGCTGTTCTCACCACCTTCTCACACTTGGCTCTTAGGGCAGGAAATGAGATCCCTCTGTGCTATCCCTCGCTCCAGCCCTGGTGGTGGTCAGCCCATGGCTTAGGTCCTGAACC